GCCAGAGTCAAAGCGTGGCCGAACCCCCCCGATGGACCCGTTCCCGATGCGCTGCCTGATTGTACCCTAACACCCGCCTCGCCCCGTGGAGCCGATTTTCCGGTAGCTGTTTATAATTATGTGTTATTTTCGCGGGCGCACATTAATGTCGCTCGTCCTGCATATCATTTATTTTGAAGTACTTGCATCGAGTTTAATATCTAAGAAAAATGAAAAGTGCACAGACTGTCTGTAGGCAAACAGATGATTAAAAAGTACTCTGCCATGTGTTAGCATTCTATAGAGGACCCTCACACCCTGCCAGCCGTCCTGAATGAGGATGTGCGCCCCCCCCCCCCAGCTGATACTGGCATCTGTCTGCTCTATAGGTGCATGACCTGATCCATTCCCTCCCACCTCCAGCTGCCCTGTTGGACCCCAGCATGGCTCCCCCCTCCCTCCACCTGCCTGCGTAGGTGACCCTCACTCAGCGTCGGGCTTGACAGTTTTGACCCAGTGCCATTACGAGGTGACACGTTTTGGCCTCGTCGACAGCCTTTTCCCGCAGAGCTTTTGCTGGAAAGTTCATCTCCCGCTCAATCGGCTGGTGCCCGCAGCCATGTTCTGGGTGCTTAGCCTCCACTTGCCAGCTGCCTGCCCGCCCCAGTCCGCGGCACGCAGTCACAGCATTCCCCGTGTCAGTTGTACTGGTGTGAGTTGCCTTTACAGTTGAGCCCAGGCTGGGCGGCAGGTCCGGCTGGGCAGAGGAGTGGGTATGTTTGTTGACCAGTGAAGATCCTGGTCACTTTGGGAGGACTGGGGGGTATCAATGTGCATGTTACAGGATGTCACTGGGGGGGGCACCGTCAATCGGCAGATGCATCCTAAGGGGGGGGCACCGCCCATCATTGTCACTCTGTAACTGTTTGTTGCTGCTCCAGTGTCTCTCACTGCCAGGGCACTGAACAGCCAGCAAGAGGACGAGAAAACAAACCTGAACAAAAGAGGAACGTTCCACTTCAGTTCCTCCGCAGAGGCAGCGGAGGCGCGCTGTAATTTGACGGACTGCTGCTCCTGTCTCCGCGGCGATGCCGGAGTCTCTGCCTGCACCAGACAGCGAGACTGCTCCTCACGTGACCTGGAGACCACTGTTAGGAGTCTCCCTTTAGCCATGAACAGAGCTGGATCGCCGCTCGTTAAGAAGGGCGCTGCGTCAATAGGGGTTAGGGAGCTTTCAGGAGCTCGGAGGTGCCCCCTGCTGTTGTGCCCCTAAGACGAAGCACCCGAATGGCTCTCTTTGCTCATCGAGTCTTACTGAGGTTTATAAACAAAGGGGCTATGTGGGATTCTGCATCAAAGCTTTTTTTTTTGGAGGTGCTGAGGACCCCTCCCGGTAATCCTGGTCTGCATGGCCTGCCGCTTGTGTAATTTTGCAGGGGTTTGGGGGCACGTCAGAGAGTGCCTTTGCGGGAGGAGCCACGGCTGCCCACCGTCGCCCCCTGGCTGCGAGACCACGTCATAGAGCCATGTAGCACCTCTGCAGCTCACAGTAGTAGCCCCCCCCCCCCCCATAAGATCCCGCCCTCAACTTTGCATGCAAACGATGCAGATTAATGGAAAGTCATCAGTTAAATTTGCCTAGTCGTGTGCGAGTGCAGGACAGGTAATTGAATCCAGGCTCCACTTGTTATTCATCCCACCTTTAGCGGGAACATGGCAAGGGGGGGTGCTGGGGGGGGGGAGTGCAAACTTAATCTGACACACTGCGGTTGGAGAGGAGCCTAGAGCACGGGCTGAAACACAGGATGGCTGCTCGCCCGCGGCCGGGAACCACTGTGGTATGTGCTGCCCCCAGAGGCGGGACACGGTACTTTCCAGTGGAGGGTGGGGATCTCAAGGTGAGCCGTGTGGCCCAGGGAGGTTGTGGAGGGGCTGCTTCCTCACTTTCTAAAGGAAAGGGACATTGATAAGGTGCTTCCTAAAATGTTTTTATTACAAAGCCTTGCAGTGGTACATTAGTGCTGCCACATGCAGGATGAATGTCGAGGACGATATAAAACTCTTTGAAAGCTCCTCGGAGACGCAGTCAAAGAGCCCTTTGCCGTGTCCCCCCCGCGGGGATACTTTACTGTTGTTCACTCTGTTTTGGTGCCGGCTTTCTGAAGAAGTCGTACCTGGTCCCGATCTGGTCCGCAGCCCCCCGAAAGCTGGGGTCCCCTCCGTCCCACGCGTCTGGCTTTGTGGAGTTTGCCTTCTCCTGTGCCTGTCTGCCGTCCCCCCCTCCGACCTCTCAAGATGCCCCCGTCTCTAGCTGCCGTATCGATTATTTCACTTTCTGATTATCTAAAAAGCTTTTTTTGTGACTGCACTTCAGCCATCTCATTTATTTTTGCTTAACTGTGTATGGCCTCCGGGTTGCAGTGACTGTTCCCTCTTACCAGATTATATGGAACCTGTCCCCCAGCGTGTGTCGGTGGCCTTCCCCCCCATCCTCTGCCACCCAGCCCCTGACCCCCTGCCCTTGCTCTCCACACAGAGGGAGCTGGACTCAGTGGCTTCGGAGCTGGCAGGCCGACAGGAGGAGAGTGACCATTCCCATAAGCACCTGGTGGAACTGAGCCGGGAGTTCAGGAGAAATGTCCCTGAGGTAAAGCCCCACCCCCACCCTGCACACTTCTCATCTCTGCCTGTGACTCCATTCATTGTTTTCCTGCCTTTCATCTGACTGCATGGTGTCGGTTTTTGGTTGCCATGGTGACTCAGAAGTTGGGGGGGACACCTGTGGGTTCTGGACCAGCTTGGGCCAGGAGGAGTGGTGTCACTGCCCAGAGCTGTGTGCCTCGGGCCTGCTTTGCTCCTCTACTCATGGCCCTGGCTTGTGTAGGCCCTGAGTACAGGATATGGCCTAAGCTGTGATCCTGTGAGCATGCTTCAGCCCAAACGAGCGTGGCTGGTCATGGGTAGTCCTGCCTCGGGCAGTTATTAGGTTATTAGGCTGCAGCGCATAAGCTGGCCTGCTGGACAAGACCTCAGGGCTGTGTTTTGGATTAGATCTCAGGGCTGTGTTCTGGATTAGATCTCAGGGCTGTGTTTTGGATTAGATCTCATGGCTGTGTTCTGGATTAGATCTCAGGGCTG